TCAGCTCTCTTTGGGGAAGGTATACTTGTTTACTTTTGTCCACATAACTTTGTTTTGGATATCTTTAGGTCGTCTGAATGACATCTATGGAGACTACAAATACACCTACTGGGCATGTGGTGTGATCCTCATTATAGCAGGCATCTATCTCTTCATTGGCATGGGCATCAATTATCAACTTGTGGCAAAAGAGCAGAAAGCAGAGAATCAGCAGAAAAAGGAAAGTAAAGAGGAGGAGACCAGTGTGGATGCTGCTGAGAAGCCAAGAGAATATACAGCAGAATCTGCAGAGCAGAAAGACACAGAAGGAAGTCCCAAAGAGGAGGAGAGTCCAGTCTAAACCTTTGGGGCCCAAGGGTCAGTGAAGCATCTGTGACCCAAGATCCTTGAAAATATCTACTGGCCTGTAATCCAGCAGTGGTGCTCAATGCCAACAGTGGACATGTGTGTGGGAATTGTACCAGGTGTTCAGTGATGGAAGTTTTGTTTTCACTCCTTACCAGCAGCCTGAATTAAAAATGCCATACCTTTGGGGAGGGAGTGGTTGGCAAAGAATGAGAGAAGGACGTAGTGTGGGGTTTTTTTTGTTTGTTTGTTTAAATCCTAGCTTTTAACAGTGTCCAGAAGATTTTAATATGTGCCTTAAGTTTTAGTCTTTAGAACTCTTTAGGGAGCCTTAACTTTTTAAACCATTCTGCTGAATTCATCTATTTTAAGTGTTATGTTATAAGGAAAAATAACAACTAACTTGTTTCTGACAAATCTAAAATTTAAAATTAATCTTGCTTCATTGTTATTTGTAATATACTGTCAGACATCACCACTGGAAGATTTATGAATAGAAATATTGGTTGGAAGTTGGGATTTTATAAAATCCTGACTAAAATACTTTCCTTGCATCAGTAGTTGCCTGGCATAGTGCCTGATAGCTATATATTTAGGAAATTTAAGGCATAAAACTTTGGAAACATCTTGGCCGTTCTAGACACATTGTACTCATCAGCACCCCTCTGGAATCTTTTCTTGGGATGCTAATATTATTAGTGCTTGAGAATTATTTCATTATAAAATTATAAAATTATTAAATTACTATTTTCCCTTTTCAAAGACAAAGTTTGAGTGGTTATAGACCATTGCCCCCTTTGAAATTACTTAGTATTTTTCACTATAAAAGTTAATTTTAAAATATGCAAAAGTATATATTTGTACCTCCTTAGTAAATACAACACATCTAATTAAATGTAGACAGATATTTCAAACATCAGCTGAATTCAGCTTCAGTTTTACCAAAACCTCAGTTAAACTGTGAGACTTAGAATTTTTTTGTTGTTGATTTTCCTGGAATTTTCCCCCATTGATTCATAGTGGTTCCATTTATATCTGTGTCTAGCTTAGAGCTGTGTGTGAGATACTCAATCTTTGTGTGCTTGTTTGTTCTTTTTTTTTTTAAATCTTTGCTAATTAAAGAAAGCCAGAGTAATTTGGCCCCAGGCAAACCAGTAAGAATAAGATTGGGAGGGAAGGTGCTCCCTTTTCTTTTTCTGAGGAGGCCTGAAAAGAATTATGTTTTGCTTATAATTATTGGACACATTCTTACTACTCCACATAAAACTAAAGTATTGTGACCCTTTTTACTTACTTGAAAAGTAGAGAAATGAGTTTAGTATGAGGATAGGGAGGATGGACCAGAATGAAATCTGTAAATATTTTTTAACCTAATATCTTCTAAAATGCACAAGAAGATAATGATAGACACTCAATAAATTATATTCAGTGCATTTAAAAATATCATTGTAATTGACACAGTGAAGTATAGGTACAAAACCTTTTGTGTAAGAGGCTGGCTTTTCCAAATAAACTTCTTTTTTCCTTTTTTTTAAGAAATGCTTCTCCCTCCAAATGTTTATTTTCTTGAGAAAATATTACTGTGTCTTCATTTTCATTATCAAGATCCAATTTGGCCCTTGCTAATATTAAACCATTCAGCTTATGTGCTGTGGGAGTTGTGTATATGGCTTATTTTTACTTTTCTTCTTTCCTCCTTTTCTTAAAGGCAAAGAAGAGGGGAATTTTGAAATTACCTCTCTGAAAGCATCCAAAGCAGTTAACCTTAAAAACACAATGAAAATTCCCTTTCAATGCCTGAGTGTCATGGCAGATGGAGAAGGAATTTGAGGTGAGAAGCCTGCTGTGATTGTTGGCAGGCTTGGCTCCAGTTGGGACTCTGCTGTTTTCCATCGACCCAAGTCCATAATCTCTTTGTGCCTCTTTTCCCTGTCCATAAAAATGAGGATCACTGTCCATGAGGTAATATAAGTAAAGGAAATGGGAAGGGGTAGGGTGGAGGAGTAGTAGTACAGGATTATTTTCTCCTGTAAGGGAGGAAAACCTTACCCTTATTTCTAGGTTCTTTGGATGGCCTAATAATTAAATTGACATAAGACAGATAAGATAGGAGAAAAATTTAATTTCATACATAACGGGAACTTCACATAGACACGAGAGGGTCAAAAACAATCAGGCAACTAAGACTTACAAGCCATCCAAAGCTAAGGAGGGGTGGGTAGGGTCTGCGGCTTCAAAAGGAATAAAGACAATTTACAAGAAGATGGAAAGAGCAAATGTTTGTTTGGTAAACCATGCCATGCAGAGAAGTCTTGAGTTTAAAAAACAAAAAGGTAATACCACTCTTCCTGGTACAGGCTCCCTATCTGAATTCTTTTAGGCAATTGCAGGTGAGGTAAAAAGCCCTTAAGTCTGTTAGGCATTGGCTGCCTTCAGCTCAAATACTCCACATGCCAAAGTGGCACATTTTGGGGCAGCCTTGTCCTGAACCCCCATCACTCCATCCCAGTTGTTGAGCTACGTCCATACCTAAGACCCTGCTTAGTCTTTGTTCAGTAGTTGAATCTTGTTAGTGAAGGGTTAAAAACTGTTTCAAAGCTGGAATTAAACCTTTTATTGCCCAGTGCAACCCTGACTTTTTCCCCCTGAAGAGGCAGCATTAAAGTATTTATTCAAGATTAGTTTTGGTAACAGCCAACACTAAAACCCAGTATAGGCCTACTCTGTGCCATCTGTTCCTTGTTATCAGTCAGTGAATTCTCCTTGTGTTGTAGGTTGTGTTCAACACCGGGAAGCAGCTGAGCTTTCTGATCCAGTCTATTGTCCTTTACTCCATGTGAGGACTGTTTTCTTCCAATTCACACAGTTTCAGTGGCTGCTTTGGAAACAAACGTACGCAAAGAGCACCTGCCTATCTTTGTTTTCTGTCCCACACCTTCCATAAGTCACAGAGAGAACATATACAGCTCTTAGGTAGTTGTAGGGCCTAAAAAGTCTTGTTTAAGAGCATACTCTGAAAAGGCTCCCCAGCCAAAGCGGAAAATTAAGAAACTGGTACGTTGGTCAATGGCAGAAGATCATGGTGACAAGACTGTATTAATTAGTGTGCTATACTCCAGTCTGTTGAGAATTTAAGTTATCTTATAAATAAGTAATTTCTACAAAATATTCAGGAAAGCATGATGGTAAAAACAAATTATGGAAAATTCAGAGGTGTTTTATCCCTGATTTAATCACGCAGATGACTAATCCTCTGAATTCTTGGGTTGTCTGAATTTAGTTTGTTTGTATCATAGATACACATGTCAATATTAATCCTGTATTTTAAAAAGGAAAAAAATTTGTTAAAAGCCATTTAATATTTTTGTACCAGTGTTTGACTGTATTGAATTTCAGAATGATAAATTGGGTATTGGTTTGTATGAAAAACCTAAATGTCTGGGTTTTACCTAGAAAATGGTTCACAGTATAACAAACCTAATAATCAGGTGTGCACCCCCCTCTCCCTGTTTTGCTTGGAAAGATGAGGGAGGTGAACAGTAAATTTCCACCTTTGCAACATGGCTTGTCTTAATAATCAGGTCAGGCAGGCATTTGCCTAGAAGACATGAAGAAAGAGGTTAATGACAGACTTGTGTCAATATGAAAATTCTTTCAGTTCTTGACAGGAAGTGACAGTCCAAGCTTGCTTGGCTTGCCCAGATTTGAGCAATTAAGCCAAGTTACTTCAGAGGGTAGAAGCATTTAGAGGGTTTCAAGTACATCACTTCTGAAATGTGTTCTAGCTTTAGCATTTTAGATTCAGTCTCCCCTTTTTCCCCTCATCCAGTCTGGGCCATAGTGACAAAATCATTCAAATGACAGTGATTGGGAAAAGTACCCATGTGTATGTGTAGATTATCTTCTTGAGCTGAACAGCACTGATTTACTTCGTTTTGCTAACTTTGACCCTCACTTGCCTAGAGGAGACCAGGATAGCCAGCCGTGGGATTGCAGCCTGCTGCTCGCTTAACCACATAAGCTACCTGAATTCAAATTGAGGCTGTGTGCCCTCAACCAGGTTACCGAGCCTCCATAAGCATCAGGGTTCTTTCTTCTGTAAGGTGTTAATAATAATTAGTACCACCCCCCACCCCCCCCAGGGTTATCAGGAAGGTTAGTTGATATGTGACAGCTTATGTTAAATAAGGGCTTCACGAATGTAAATACCTGACTATAAAAAAAAAATCAAAGAAAATTAATACTTGGGGAAAAAATTGCTCTTCTAATTCCCAAGATGGATCATTACTTAGGATAGTTTGGAAGTGACTTTTAAAGATAATATTAGCTAAATTTGATAATATTAGCTAAATAAATATTAGCAAATTCCCAAATTTGACTGAACCTGGGTGGTTCAGTCAAAAGAGCATGCAACTCTCCATCTCAGGGTTTGAGTTCAAGCCCCATGTTGGGTGTAGAGCCTACTTGAAAAATAAAAAATAAAGAATATTAGCTAAATTATCACATTCTCCTTTTGATCAGATCCTTTTATTCTTATAAATGTAATGGTCTTTCTTTGGTAAATGAATGGATGAAATGAACAATTGATGAGGTTGGGGCATACATGCCCAGCTCTTGCTCACAAGAGGGATATGAGTCCCAAAACCCTTGCTCCTGATGCTCTAATAGTACACCATCTTCAAGGAAGAGAGGCCCAACTAGCGGCAGATAAACATTTCCTCTCAATATTTGTGATGATTCTAAAAGAAGAAATACAACTAGTAACCAGTCATGATTAAAGTTGTCTGTCTCAGCAGTGTTCTTAAATGCAAATTGAAGACTTGATGAGGTCTTAATTTTTTTGTACTACGTTGATAATGTAGTGATAACATGATTTAAATTATAAATTACCACTTAGTGGCCGAATAAATTGGTATTTAACATACTGACAGCAATTTCATGATGTGTGTCAAGTGCCATGAGTTCATATCTTTCTAAGAATTCCAGATTTGGAATTGACAGAAGAAAAATGTCTGTCTTTAATCTTAAAGTGTATATCAGTAATTATTTAAATGAATGGTTATTATATCCTTGTGGTATAAACATGGCACGATGTTAAAGGCAAAACACAAGGGGCACCTGGGTGGCTCAGTTGGTTAAGCGTCTGCCTTCGGCTCAGGTCACGATCCCAGGGTCCTGGGATTGAGCCCTGCATCAGGCTCCCTGCTCCGCGGGGAGCCTGCTTCCTCTGCCTGCCACTCCCCCTGCTTATGCTCTCGCTGTCTCTGACAAATAAATAAAATCTTTATATTAAAAAAAAACACAAACTACCATGATGCAAGTTCATATGTATATATACACATACACATGCATATATACACATGCACGGCAGGGGAAAGAACATATACAAATAGGCTTATTTTGTGACTGGTAAAATTAGAGGTGACTTTTTCTATATTTTTCCACATTCTAAATTTTCTTAATGTGATGGTAACTTTTACACTAAAAATATTTAATGTAGCACGTAATACTGGTTTACACAGGGAAAAAATAGTACAGTTAAGGGTTCTGGCAAGAAACATGACTCCTAAGAAAATGAAGCTGATGATTGTTTACAAGCAGGTTATTTTTTCCTGCTTCTTCGAGAATTGCATGTGGTGAAAGGGTGGAGGATGAGACATGGAACTCAAGAGCACAGTGGTCTCAAGTCATGATTTTGCTGGTCTGGACCAGAACTGTGGAGCATGACTCCATGGGCCACCTGTGTCAGCCTGCGGTGCCCCCTCCCTGGAGATCGTGCTCCTGGGGACAGCATTCCTGTGGTTCCCCCTCAGATCATCATTTCGCTGCAAGTGAATGTTTAACTCAGAAAGCCAGAGCATTCAGCACTTACCCACATCACAGTGTTGCAGTCTTAAACATTATCTTACTGGAATCAGCATCTGAAAAAAATGCACTGATGTCACAAAAAGAATTTGCTTGCCTGCACCGCTCTCATTTATTTACCAGCAAGTATTTACTGGATTCTTAACTACGTCCCAAGCATTGTTCTAGGCTTTGAGAATCCAACCATGAGCAAAGCACAGTAGGTCTTCCCATGTATCCTATATTCTAGGAGCAGAAGACAGACAGTGAACATCAGGTTATAAGGAAAACAGTATTTTGGTGTGTTTTTAACATCTATGTGCTTATTTGCTGAATAGAGAAAACAGTGAACAAAATTTTGTTCCTGGCACCCACAGCTTCTAGTCTAATGGGAAGGACTGTGTAGTAAGTGTTGTGGGGGCAAGGGCAGCACATGGAACCATAAAAAGGACAAAAAGTATATTCTTGAGCAAGTTAATTTCTCTGAGCCTCTGGTAAAATAAACAAAATTGTGAGGATTCAGTGTAAAATTACCCAGCATTCTGTGGAGTGTATAGTAGCATTACATTGAGCTCATAGTGTTAAAAATTAAATAGCAGGGCGCCTGGGTGGCTCAGTCAGTTGCGTGTCAGATATTGTCTCAGGTCGTGATCTCAGGGTCATGAGATGGGCTCTGCAAGGAGTCTGCTAAGGATTCTCTCCCTCTGCCCCTCCCCCGTGTGCTCTCTCAAATCTTTCTATATATTTTTTTAAGATTTTATTTATTTATTAGACAGCAAGAGAGGGAACACAAGCACGAGGAGTTGGGAGAGGGAGAAGCGGGCTTCCCGCCGAGCAGGGAGTCTGATGCAGGGCTCGATCCCAGGACCCTGGGACCATGACCTGAGCCTAAGGCAGACGCGTAACGACTGAGCCACCCAGGTGCCCCAATAAATCTTTTTAAAAAATAGTAAGTGTCAATTAAGTCATCAGCCAGAACAAGGAATAAAGAACGGCTGGTAACATCTGTATGGCTAATCAGAGTTTTCAAAGGCCTTTTGAGTATATGCTGTTCACCTGATTCATGCAAAATCCTGGGGAGGTAGGTATAATGAAGAATACTGACCCTTTAGTTGGGTCTTATCTGAGCAGGGCATCTCCCCTGCTGCAGAAGAGCAAGACTGCAGACAGCTCAGCGGCTAGAGCTGAAGGTACTGGCTGGAAGTTTGGAGACCTCCAAGAGTGTAAGAGGCCGAATCCTGGGTAATCTTGGAACAGTGACCAGACCAATCACTCGGGCCCTGCACCAAAGTGAGTAAAATGGTCCTGCCCCCAGTGAATTCACAATCTAATTTAACAATCCTTTTCCTTGGCTTTGGAATTCATAATGTGATTTCTTCACTTGTGGATTTCCTTTCCTAATATGCTTTACTAATTCCAGAATTAAAAGTTTGCATTTCCTGAGCTTACTCTGGCCAGGTCCCAAGAGAAAGTGGCCAGCAGCCATTAAGAAGCCAGGAGGGGAACTGGGCTAGGATTAGAAATCACCTGGTGTGCTAACAATCTGTACATCAATAATTATCAAGAGAAGGTTTCTAATGGTTCTTGTCATTGTGATTTGTCTTTCTTTTCCTTTCTCATTGCTTCTTTCCCCCTTTTGAGACCAAAAGAGAAGGGCCTGGGTGCCTATCTGTCAGGCCCTATTTATCTATGCTTCTCAAAAGGAGAGCTTTACTTTTGATTAACAACCCTTCTCCTTTTAAATTCCAAGTACTATCTTGCTTCTCCAACGATGAGAATGAGCAAGAACTGGCCTGCAGTAGGTCAGGCAAGCACTTGGGAGGGTTCCTAAACTTCCACTCTTGCCCCAGCCCCTCCTTCCGTCTCCCCGTTCCTACCCCCACGTGCCTCATCAGCTGCCCAAATGTGTAGACTGAACTGCTTTCCTGTTTCTCCCTTCATTCCCTCCTTTGGTTCCCTGCCACAGGCTTAGCCTTTAACAGCCTCCCTACCTCTGTTCTCACCACCTCCAATCCAACCTCAACACTGCTGTCGAAATGATTTCTCTAAAAAGACCAAGTCTCTCAGCTGCTTTTATAATTTCAAATACAAGCAATAAAGATAAAAATAATAAAACTCATCTAACCGTGTCACTCCTCTGCTTAAAATTCTATAGCTTGAGGATAAAGTCCGATCTCAGCTTGACCCCCAGGTGCCCTTCTCAATCAGCGATCAGCACCTGTGTACTGCTCCAGTCTTATCTCCTGCCAGTCCGCAGCCGCACCCTGCTCTCCCGCCCAGCTGAATGTGTTACTAAAGCTGGCCCTAGTTTCCGACCTCCCGGCCTTCCTATGTGCTCACTTGTGTCTGGTAACCCCTCTCTCCTCTCTCTGCACCAACTCCTATTCATCCTTTGAAACTCAGTTCATGTCTCCTCTTAACAGGAGGCCTTACTGATTCCCCAGTTCTTTTTTTTTTTTTTGTTTTTAAGATTTTATTTATTTATTTGAGAGAGAGAGTGAGCAGTAGAGAGCAGGAACAGGGAGGAGAGGGAGAAGCAGGCTCCCTGGCGAGGAGAGAGCACGGTGCAGTACATGATCCCAGAACTCTGGGATCATGACCTGAACCGATGGCAGATGCCCAACCGACTGAGCCACCCAGGCGGCCCACCCCCAATTCATTTTAATTGTCCTTACGTGTACAGCACAGAGTATGGATCTGTGCCAAATCCCAGGCCTTGGGTACAAATTCCAAGTAGGCCACTTACTAATTCTGAGTCCTTAAGCAAGTTATTTAACCTCTAGGCCACAGTTTGTACAACCATAAAATGGAGAACTTAACGTTATAGGGTTGCCATGAGGATTAAATACGGCCAGGTCTATAAGACCCTTAGCATAGTACCTGAATAAATGCTCAGTAGGAATTACCACTATCTCTGTCCTAGATAGTTCTTCCCACTGCCAAAGAATAATTTTCAAAATGGTAAAATCATAGGGGCACCTGGGTGGCTCAGTTGTAAGTGTCTGACTCTTGATTTTGGCTCAGGTCATGATCTCAGGGTCCTGATATTGAGCCCCAGGTCAGGTTCTGCCCTCAGCAGGGAATCTGCTTGAGATTCTCTCCCTCTCTCTCTGCCCTTCCCCCTGCTCACGTTTTTTTTTCCCCCCTCTCTCGCAAATAAATCTTTTTTAAAAAAGGTAAAATCAGGAACACCAGGGCGCCTGGGTGGCTTAGTTGGTTAAGTGTTTGCCTTCAGCTCAGGTCATGATCCCAGGGTTCTGGGATCAAGCCCTGCATCGGGCTCCCTGCTCAGTGGGGAATTTGCTTCTCCCTCTCCCTCTGCCTGCTGCTCCCCCCTTCTTGTGTTCTCTCTCTCTCTGTCAAATAAATAAAATATTTTTTAAAAATAAAAAAATAAAATAAATTCAGGGATGCCTAGGTTGCTCAGTCAGTTAAAGTGTCTGACTCTTGGTTTCAGCTCAGGTCATGATCTCAGGTCGTGGGATCGAGCCCCATGTAGGGCTCTGTGCTGGGCATGGAGCCTGCTCCTCCTTGTCCCTCTGCTCCTCTCCCAGCTTGCACTCTCTCTCTCTCCTCTCAAATCTAAAAAAAAATGGTAAAATCTTAACTCTCATACAGATATAAAAATACATGTTTATATAAGTCATTAAGGAGGGAAGCAGTAAGATTTTACAACTGTTTCAATTGAGAAGTGGATTTATGGAGATTTCTCTACTGGACAGAATGCATTTGCACTGCCATCAATAGGAGCAACTTGCACTGTACACCAGACAGGGAGCATCTGTACTGCTTTCAGCCCTCTACAGGTTAGCTTCCATCTCCGCAGAGCTGTAATATAGCCCAGCAGAAGACAGACAGATGTGGAGATCCCTATAGAGCCAGAGAGCCCGGAACCCTAGAAAACTCACAGCCTTCCATTGACAGAACACCCAGGAATCCTTTGCCCATTTGTAAAACCTAACAATTTTTCCTCGCATAATAGTGCACAGCACTCATCAGTTTGCCTTTCTAGACCCTACCAGCTGTGAGCTGCTTGAGATGAGAGGAAACAACACACAAACTCATCGATCCATTTTGATTTTAGGGGCTGGAGAAATTTCTGCAGGAGGTGACATTTGAGCTGGGTAGAGAAAGGGAAGGCTACATTTCTGCTGGAGAAGAGCATTCAGAGAGCTGTGTTGGGGCCAGGGAAGAAGCAACTGGCAAGCAGGTGTTAAACACAGACTGTACCAGGCCCTGGGCTAGGCTAGGAAGATAGAGGAATGAGGCCTGCTCTCTGCTTTCAAGAAGCACTCAGTCTATTGTGGGAAATAAAAGGAAATCAAGGCTTACGACATAGTGTGATGAGGGCCCTGAAAGTCCAGATGCCAAACTTAGAAACTCAAGGGAACTGCTCACAATGTTGCCCAAGCCCAGGTTTGATGAAAGGCAAAACACAGGAGATCCCTGTGAGGCTCTGCGCGGCCTCAGAGAAATCAATGAAGAAGTGTCTGTTCTACACCCATAGTCAGACCCCTTCCTCTTCCTACCTGTGGCTGGACATTTGTTGCCAGATGGGTGGCCGTGGAAGAATCTGAGTTCCCTCAAATCTCTGGGAATGGAAGTCCTTATTATGGGCAGGGGTAACCCTGAAGCATTCCCCAAGTCTTACTTAGGGAACTAGCTCATTTAAAGTCATTGCAGGGGCGACTGGGTGGCTCAGTTGGTTAAGTTTCTGACTTTTGGTTCCATCTCTGGTCATGATCTAAGGGTCATGGGATTGAGCCCCGCATCGGGCTCCACACTCAGCGGAGAGTCTGCTTGAGATTCTTTCCCTCTGTGCCCCCCCACCACTCACACATGCACGTGCTCTCTCTTTCACTCTCAAATAAATCAATAAATCTTCAAAAAAAAAAAGTCATTGCAAAGAAAACGGTACTCACCAGCTGAAAGGCAGTATGTTGAAAGGGGGATAATCAACAAGGAAACTCAGGAAAATGTGTTCTCCCCTAGAATTTAAGCTCTGTGAGGCAGGGAGTATCTGAATATGCTTATTATCTGATAGGACTCATTTGTTGAATATATAAAAAGAAAGGATGAATGAATGGGGGCTCCAGAGAAGGACCTGTTCAGGGAGACGAAACTGGCAGATTGGCTGTCCTGCTCAGTGCCCTCAGATGTAGTCAGTCAAAGACTGGCCTCGTTTAAATACTTGAAGCACCAGCCAACTCCTTGGATTTACTTTTCTCCTCACCAGACAACGCTCTGGCCGCTTCTATAGTTTTAGCTGCCTAATAGGAAATGATATACATAGCATGTTGGCAGGAACAGTCAGTCTGATTGCCTGCCATACTCTCCCTCTGAATTCTGGTATAAACCTGAGCCTCCAATGTCCGTCAGGCTCCCAAGCTCCATTCAACCCTAGGACACCAACAAGACCAAACCATTCTAAGTTCACCAAGGCGGTGCCGCCCAAGTGAGCCTCCCGCCCCACCGGCCTGGCAACACCTCCACCATAACATCCACCTCTTTTGATTTTGACCTGATCACTGAAGTGTTTCTCCCAACACTGCAGATCTGCTCCAACCACGGGAGGTGACCAACAGGGTCTCTCTTAGCAGCCTGGCTCTCTTAGCAGCCTCCCTGCCTCACACATCCCATCTGGATCAGCCCGGGCCTCTGGGACAGTCCCCAGGACCCTGCCTCCCTTGTGCTACCTTTCTCAGGAGGGGCAGACACCCGGAGCACCTGCTCGGGACCCACCATGGCAGTTAGGCCTGCGAGCCCACCCAGCCACCTCCCGCACCTGCTACACCTCACCCCATTTCCACCGAGGCTAGGTGGTGTGGTGGCTCTGGCCTCAGAGCCCGGCTCCAGCACTCCCTGGCCATGTAGCTCTGGGAAGGTCACTTCTGCCCCGGTCCCCTCATCTGCAAAAGAAGGATAACAAGGGTTGTATCAGCCAGAGTTCCGTGCAGAAATCCGAACACTGGGGTATTTGGGGCAGAAAGTGATTCACCCAGGGGCTTAGGTGCTTGGGGGATGGTCAGGGTGGCTGGATGGGGGAGGGGAGGAGGGTAGGCTGAGGCTTGAGAGGATCTGCCCCCTGCCCTGGAGCCTCCGGAGCTGGGGGCATCTGGAGCCACAGGGCTGTGAGCAGGGATGGGACTGCGCCCAGGACACCAGGAAAAGACGCAGGTCTGCATGACCCTGTGTGTCAGGAAGGAGCAGCCAAAGCCCAGGAAGGCGGCCTCTGGCTCCCTTCCACCTTCTGAGTCCCAGGTGAGGGCCGAGTGCCGGCTCACAGCAGACACCCACACTCTGGAAGGAGGCGGCCTGGGAGATACAGCTGTAGCTTTCTGCCTGCAAAGGACAGGAAATAGTGGGGAAGGGGCCTTGGGTGCTCCTCGGCCACAAGAGGGTTAACCACAACTGGGTTTGTGCCTGGAGAGAGCTCACCGCACCCCCCCCACCCCCACCCAAGGCACACAGCAGGTGCTGAAGGAAGGCGGTTCTGGGGAGGGTTCTGGGGAGGCTCCGGTGGTGGTGACAGCCAGCTCCAGGCCAGGCCCCAGGAGATACAACAGCGAACAAGACAGAGCCCGACCCTGAAGAAGGGCTGACCCTCCAGGGCCAGCAGAGACTGGAATCATCAAGGAATGTGGCTGGTGTAACAGTGTGTCTGTCCTAAAAGCCTGGGGAGCACAGGGAGCTGAGAGCAGAGGGGGCGCACCTGTACCAGTGTGGGGGTGGGGCGCAGAATGGTAAGAGCCAGCTTTCCAGTAGTATAGAGTCTAATACAAGGCTGGAAGGGAAAACTACAAATTAACCAAATTAAGCAGGAAGAAACAAAGGGTGTGTGTGTGTGACAATGCTAATTTCCACTTTAGGGGCGCACATACATATACAAACCCCTGCAAGATGCTTGGCATTTTCCACAAGTAGACAGTTCAGTCCGAGAGTGATGAGTGAGGGTAGTGGGGTAAGAAATGAAGCTGGAGAGGAATGCAGGGGCGTGGAGATCTCCAGGGGCTTCCACAGCATTTTGAAGAATTTAAGCTTTATCCTGTGGGCAATGGGAAGCCATGGTAGGTATTTAAGCAGGGACAAGAGTCATCGTTCTGGTTTTTCAAAATCACTTTGCTGCAGTCTGTGGAATCGGTTGGAGAGGGCAGGACTGCAGGTGAGGTTGTCAACAATGACACTGCAGCAGCCTGGGCCGGAACTAAGGCCTGCCTAGAAGAGGACAGGGAAAAGAGGGCAGACTGCTGGGAGTTTAGGAGGAGGCAGAGTGCACAGGAGGGCGTGGGGGTGGGAGCAGGGAGAAACCTGGGGTGGCTGCCAGGTTTCGTGACCAGATATACCTGGAAGGGTGGGGCCCCCACCAGCTCCTGGCACTGGATCCTGGGGTGGTGCCCACCCACAGTCTCCCTGCCTCTGGACTGACTTCACAGAAAGCTTCTTCCCTCCCGTGAACCTTATGGCCTACATGCAATTCAATTCCACCAACATTTATTAAGCAGTTCTTATGTGCCAGGAACCAGGGAAGCTTCTCCCCTTCTCACCTAAGGGAATTTGAACTGGATGACTGAGAGGCTTTGGAGCAGGGGTGGGGGGCTGAGGGTGGCCAGGGAGAGGCTGTGGACACAGAGCCTACATTCAGGCCTTCTCTCCTCTCCCTATGTAGGAGGGCCCTGACCTATGACCTCTCACCCCCATGACTGAAAGGTACAAAGGGCATCAGCAGAGCCTTAGACAAAGCCCCTGGGCCCCAACCTCTGCTGGAACAGGCACCCATCCCTAGTCTCTTTCTGCTTTTAGAGTTCTGCATTCCTTCTGCTGTGAGATCCCAGATGAAAGGAGAGACCCACCTGCATGTTCACCCCGAAGACTTACGGTCTGCCATCCAATAGATGCACTCCTTGGAACCAAGGCATTTCCCCCGAGGCTGTCAACGGGAAGACAGCAGCCGATTACTTACTGCCTGGCTGATATCGTAACTTCTTACCACTATCACAGTAGTGCAGGCCAATTATAGGAGCCTAGAAGGGAGGCCTGCTTTTTTAGAAAGGTGAGCGGCCTGGAGTCATCCCCTGGGGGGCTGGGCCCTGGAAAAGAATGCCAGTAAATAGCACTTTCTGTTCCGGAAATACTCCACATTCCTGATTTCTGAATCTCCATAACTCTGTGAGATCATTATTGTTGCCACTTTGTAGATGATGAAACTAAGGTTCAGTTAGAACCTTAGAGAAATTTGCTCATTTAGGGTCACATGGCTACTAAGTGGCTGAACTAGACTTTTAACCAACCCAGACCTGATACTAAGGCCTTCTTCCAAATGACTACAGGGTAACAAAGCCTTGCTCCCCGGAACCCCTGCTCCGTGTCAGGTCCTGCTACTCCCTCGAGTAGTCACGTTCCAGGAAGATGTTCTCTCACATCTTTCTCATGGTTGTTTGCCTGGTCCTGGGAATCGAAGCTCCTGGAAAAGATGAAGGGTACAGAACAAGGACAGCAGGGATTGTCGGATGGGAAGCCCTGGGAGGCTCTGTTCTTCTTCACCCCTCCCCAGCAGGGGGTCTCCTAGGCACTGCAAAGTCCTGCTTTTGTCGCCAGCCTGTTTCAGGACCCTAAGGACTCCTAAGGCTTGCTATTCTCCTACTCTGGCTCTGAGAAGCCTCAGGACTTCCTCATCCTCCTGCTCTGGGACACTGTCCAGGGCCTCAGCCTACCGGCCTGAGCCTCCCACCCTGGGTTTAATTTCCACTAACCCTAATGCTCTCCAAATCCCCAGCTGAGACGCCAGGCCAGGGTACAGCCTGCAGAGCTTATTCATGTGCAGTAGCTGCCCAGTGCCCACGGCGGGGGGTGGGGGAAGCCTCTAGGCTCCTGGGAGCTGTGTCCCGTGTAGGAGCCGAAAAATAATTTTTCCTATACCCTTCTGAGTTCTTTACTGACACCCCTGTAATAAAAGACAGATTAACATGAGAAATACAAACCAAAGTTTATTCATATGTGTACCTCCTATATATATTTGAGATAAGAGGAAAAACAGTCAATCCTCCCAGGGGCCTAACTCAGCTGCCGCAACAACATCTTCAGCTAAAGAACAAAAGGCGAGGGTGGTGGGGTGAGGTCTGAACCGGAGGTTACCTGGAAAAGCAGGGTAAACAAGGGTAAAGCTTCTTAGGCAGATTTAAATCACTGCTCTCTCCATTGGGTAAGAGTCTCTTGTGACTGAGAGTCAGCTTCTCTTCCTACTACAGAGAGGGAGACACCCTTACAAATGAATATTTCCTCTACAAATGTTAAGTTTCCCTTTCAAAAGAGTAATTTCTACTATTTTCTCCGGTGTCTGTATTTTGTCACAACAATCAGCTCAAAATAAGCCTTATGACCAAGGGCATATTTGGGGGTGGCATATTCCACCACACTTCACTCCCCCTTCCAAACCTGGGCTCCCTGCCATGGCCCGAGGCAGCTTTCAGAAGAAAAAAATGTTCTGGTCAAAGTGAGACCAGTGGTGTTTCTTAGGTCACAAGACCTCTGCTGGACTATGCCCCTGGGCACATCTTGGTGGCACCAGGTCTCTGAGTCGCAGCCCAGGACCGGGCAGCCGCGGTGCATCACAGCCTTTGCTGGGTGATGAGAGGGCTGGGGATGGGGGATGGGGGGTGGGGATGGGGGGTGGGGTGGGGGGTTGCAAGCCCCTAGGGAAGCTCTCCCTATCCATCCCGCTGCGCCAGGCTGAGGGAGGCGCCGGCCACCTCCGGCCAGTCACCTCTCGCCGCGGCCAGACCCTCCGCGGACCCCGATGGGGGGGAGGCGCCGAGTCCACTTGGGCTGCTCCTTGCTTCAGGTTCCGCTCCTCGTTACAGCCCTCGGCCGGCAGGAACTGCCCCTCCCCACGCCCCCTCCCACCCTCCACGGCATCCCCGGGGAAAGCTCCACACCCACACCCCTCCCTACAGCACACATTCCCCTCCCCCACGCAGGCAGCCCCGACACATGCGCGCCGACTCCTCAGGCCTGGAAGCCGGCCCCGCGCGACCAGTTGTCCGGGGGACCTCACACGGCCCTTCTTCAAGGGTGACCACACGAGGAACCTGGAGAGGGGGCCGGTCTGGGGGCAGACAGGACTCCCTCCGTCCCCTACTCCCCGCTGCCCCTCGCCCCGCAGAAGGCGCCCTCCCCGGCCCCCCTCGGGTCCAGCGCCCCGGGCTGGATGCGGCAGCGCGGGGCGCCCTCGTGTGGCCGGAAGCGGCGCTGCAGCTCCCCGCCGTCGTCCTCCTCCCGCGCCGGCGCGCTGCTCGCTGAGGAGCTCAGGGGCGAGCCCCGGGCTGAGCTGCCCCCCAGGGGCCCCGCTGCGCCCCCGCCCGCGCCCACTGCTCCCCCGGGGCCGGCGCCCAAGCTGCACGCCCTCCTCTTTCACCCCTGAAGATTTTCTCCCTGTATCTTCCAAGTCAATATTCGTGCATGTCAAAAGACAATTTAACAAAATGTTAGCTCTAAAACATAATATAGTTATTATCCGGGAACCTGCCACCTGACAAGAGAGCTGAATCATTTAGAAAGTTGCACCTTCCTTTGTGTTCCTCTTCACTGACCCTAATTTCATGTTTTCTCTTGCTTTTTGTTTCCATTTTTTTTTTAGTGTGGTAAAATACATATAAAATATGATGTACAATTCTGAAGTATTAAATACATTCAGAAGGTTGTGCAAGCATCACCACCATCCGTCTCCAGAACTTCTTTTCCTCCTGGCAAACTGAAACTCTGTACCCATTACATAACATCTCCCCATTCTTCCCTCCCCCAGCCATGGGCAACCCCCATTCTGTTTTCTGTCTCTATGCACCTGACTAGGTCTCTTATCTCAGTGGAATCACGCAGTTTTTGTCTTTTTGTGACTGTCATATATCACTTAGCATAATGTCCTTAAGGTTCATCCATGTTGTAGCATGTGTCAGAACGTCTTTCCTTTTTAAGGCTGAATAATAGTCCATTGTGTGTATATCCCATTATACATTTTCTTATCCATTCACCCATCCATGGACACTTGGGTTGCTTCTACATTTTAGCTATTATGAATAATATTTCTATGAACATGTGTATATAAATATTTCTTTTGAGACCATGCTTTCAGTTCTTCTGGCTGTGTATCCAGAAGCAGAATAGCTGGGTCATAAGGTAATTCTATTTTTTATTTTTTTGAGGACCCACCATATTGTTTTCCACAGTGGCTGCACCATTTTACGCTCCCACCAACAGTGCACAAAGGTTCTCATTTTTAAAAGTATTTTATTTATTTATTTGAGATAGAGAGAGCACAAGCAGGGGGAGGGGCAGAGGGAGAGGGAGAAGCTGACTCCCTTCCAAGCAGGGAGTGGGATGCGGGGCTCTATCCCAGGACCCCGGGATCATGATCTGAGCCAAAGGCAGACACTTAACCAGCTGAGCCACCCAGGTGCCCCTCTTTTTTTTTTTTTAAGTAAGCTCTATGCCCAACGTGGGGCTTGAACTCAAAACCCCAAGATCAAGAGTGCAAGCCAGCTGCCCCAAGGGTTTTAACTTTCCCACATCCTTTCCAACACTGGTTGTTTTTTGGTTTTGTTTCTTTTTTTGTTTTGTTTTTATAATAATCATCCTAATGGGTGTGAGTGGTATCTCATTGCCGTTTTGATTTACATTTCCCTCATGATGAGTGATGTTGAGCATCTCTTCATGCGCTTATTGACCATCTGTATGTCTTTAGAGAAACACCTATTCAAGTCCTTTGCCCATTTTTGAATCAGCTTATTTGTTCGTTGTGGAGTTTTAGGGGTTCTCTGTATATTCTGAATAGCACTCCTTTTTCTGTTATATAATTTGTAAATATTTTCTCCCATTCTGTGGATTGCATTTTTACTCTGTTGAGAGTATCTTTTTTTTTCAAAGTTTTTATTTATTTGAGAGAGAGTGAAAGTGACAGAGATCACAAAGGGAGAGGGAGAAGCAGACTCTCCACTGAGCAGAGAGCCCGATGTGGGACTTGATCCCAGGACCCTGAGATCATGACCTGAGCTAAAGGCAGATACTTAACCGACTGAGCCATCCTGGAGCCCCCGAAAGTATCTTTTGATGCACAAAATTTGAAAATTTCCACGAA